AGCATGCTCTCTTGTTCATCTTCACTCCCTTCCACATCAGCTGCCTTTAGTTACGTTGCCTCCTAAGCTTTTGAATCTGTTGGCTCTTTCCTGTAAGCATTCAACTTGGTGGGGAGAGGGTCGTTGCTACAGTTTGGAAATAGAAAGAGGAGAATTCAGCGGTACTTGTTTCTCTGGCCCATTACTAACTCAGGCATTAGAGAACAGAAATCTTCATTAGTGCATGGAGGGATCGCCTATAGCAATAATCACTGCCAACAGAGTCAGGGGAATGAAGGAAGGAGAGGAGCATTTCCAGTCACTTGCTGAGACAGGATCATGAGGCTCCCCCATCCTGAGATCATAGGGTGGAGTGATGCCTGTGTAACCCAGAAAAGAATTAAACAGTAAGTGGGTTGTTGATTCTTTTTGAAGAGAAACCAGATGGCAGTCACCCAAGACTTAGAAACAAAAACCGAAGGAAACTACAAATCAGAACAAACAAGGAAACCTTGTGGAGGTGGCACCTGGAATCAGAGAAACCCTGGTTCTCCTCTGAAGATCAGTGTGTAATGTGGCCACCAGAGGAGACCTCCTCCTCCTCCCTCCCCAGAGGAAAGATGATCTGATAATAATCTTTCCTGTACCTGTCCTTCCCAGTGGTCCAGGTTCTTCTTAATTACAGCTGGCCTTTCAGGGCACTGGTCACACACACACACACACACACACACACACACACACACACACACGCAGCACAATTGCACATTGTCTTCTAGCTCAACACTCTTCCTAACAGAATTATTGAGGAAGCATTATGCAAATCTATTATTTACTAAACCATAAAGCCATCAGGTCTCAGAGGTTCATTTTTCTTAGCTGACTTCTAGAAGCCAGCATGGGCTTAGCTTCCTCCATCCTTCCTATTCTAGCTGCCAAGCCACTGTTGACAAAACACAGGTGTTCTAAGTTTTTCATTTTCCCCTGGGCTTTCCGGCCACATTTTGCTTTATTTGACTTTGTTTTGTTTTCAGCAGGATCCTCGTATCCGCAGCATGTACGTGTTCCAATCACTTCCCATACTTTCCCATAGGTTTCTTTATAAAACATTCTTATATGCCCAAACTTAGCCAAATGTTTATAAGTGTATCTCACAGGCAAAAAGCACATCTGTACAAAGTCAGAAAAATGACTTTGGTAAGGAACCCCGAGGGCATGGCCATGATGCTTAGGCTGTCACAATCCATCTGTGTCCTGCTCATGGATCTGCTCATTTTGAATAACAGGTCCCTGGAAATCTAAGATTTTGTGCCATTTAATAAGTTGAATACAGTGATCTAGACAAGAGGCATAGCTATCGTATTGCTACGACATATTTCTAAGTCAAGTGCCTGAGGCCTTTCAAGACCATTGTAAACAACATCAGATTCTCTGCAGGGTCCAGGCACATGAGAACAGGCTGAAACTTGTGTTTGCTCTAGTTTTGACTTAAAGCCAAGAAGAGAAGAAATGTTGATGGCTTCGCAAGATAACCAAGGACAATTAGTTCTAACGTAACCTGAGCAACCGTTGTTTGAGCATGGCTTGTTCACAGTTCCTCTTGTTGGACCAGTTTGGCTAAAAGAGCTTGGTGACTTGAAATCCCTAAAGCTTTGTATGTCTTTAAATTGTACACACTGTGCTCTGTACGGATCTTGTTCTGAGAATTTGCTGATGAAGAAAAGGGAGTTTGAGCACAATACAAAGAAGTTGTGAACTTTGGTTGGTTTCAGAGTCCCGGGAGTTGCCATCAGCTGAGAAAAGAGCTGGTGGGAGGAGGATGTGGCCACTCTGCATCCTGATCACACTTTACTGAAGCCATATCCTGCCTGCGGCGACAGTGCAGAGGACCACATCTTACCACCCTCCTCAATCATACAGTACCATCTGCTCTGGAAGAAGGGCCTGTCTGCAGTAAAGCAGTATTATCACAAAAGGTTAATAAACATTTAGGGTCACAGGAAACTTGGGCTTGGAGCTTCCTGAATATCAGATATATGTGTAAAAATGTTTGTGCCCAAGATGTTTGATAGAATGTTAAAAAAAAAGGCATCATAAAAGAGAATTTGGAAAACTACATTAAGGTGCAAAAGAGTAATTTGAATGACTACCTCTGATATATTGAGAATAGCATTTTTTTCTGCTAGTACTTACGTATATATGTGAATCTACATACATAAGAATGATTTTGATTTTACAAATATATTTACTTATTTATTTACAAATTAAAATCATGTACATAATTCACATAAGGTAGTAAGTACTACAGGTAGATGTAAGATAGCACTACATGTGCATGTTTAATATCTTTTACTGACTTACTATTAGATTGTATTTTTGCAAGCTCAAACACTTCATCTGTGTCACATCCCTGACATCGGTGCTTCTCCAGTTTCATCAGGCATCACACAGACTCTGAAGTGCCAGTGAACGCTGCCCACCCCAGCACTTTTGAGCCAACAGGAATCAGGAGGGACCAGAAGTGTGTCCACCTGACACTGTGCAGTTCTGGAGACTCAGAATTGCTCCCTCCGTTGTATAAACATTCTCTTATGGTTGAGTATTTGCATTGGTTCCATTTTTAGCACCCTAAATAAAACTAGAGACTAAAATTAACACTAAAACACTAAAATTATTATTTTCATAATAATTTCCATAGCACATGTTTCTACAATAGGAATAATAATTAGAGCAGTTATTAAATTTTTGGAAACCTACTATGTGTGACCAAGCTGATCTAAACAACTTGTGCCATTGTAAACTGTATGTGAACATTCTTCTTGTTATTGAATATATTTTATATTTTAAAAGTGTTAGCCCAAGTAAAATACTACATCAATTTGCATATTGTCTTAGACGCCCAAAGTTAAAGGAGGAAAGGTTTATTTTGGCTCATAGTTTGTAGAAGTTTCAGTCATAGTTGGCTGGCTCCAAGGCAGGGTGGCACAGCAGAGGGGCATCACAGAGGAGAAATAGTCCATGAGAAAGCAATGCAGGCAGAAGGCAGCAAGCAGCAAGCAAGTGACTAGTGACCATAGCAACCCTCTTTCTGTCCCCCATATTCCATCTAGGCTACCCTACCTTAGGGTGGGTAGCACTCACATCCAGAACTGTGCCAAACCAATCAGTGCACTAATTTAGTAATCTGGCACACTAGATCCAGCCACTCCTAAAAAATCCCCACCTATGACCACATGAGGCTTTGCAGGGACATCGAGATACAAGCCATAACACATGTCTTTGATTACTATGGCAATGAAATTTTTCATCATATTTTTGTTATCTAGTTTAAAAAAACTGAACAAGGGGCTGGGAATTTAGCTCAGTGGTTCCAGAACTTGCCTGGAAAATGCAAGGTCCCGAGTTCGATCCCCGGTACCAAAAAAAAAAAAAAAAAAACTGAACAAATTCTGTTGTTTTCTTCAAGTTTCTGGGGGCTTACAGTTTTTTTAATGTAATTCTAATAATCTTGTATATTTTCAGTCTACAAATTCCTAATTCCTAATTGTAAGGTTTTCTACAGCTGTTTCCTCCCTTGGTTGTTTACTTTTTACTAATTGGCTGGTTTTGACAGAGCTTTTTGTTTTGTTTTATTTTAATTTGTATATAGCTAAATTGCTCTGCATTGGGATGTATTTTGTTTCTTAGAAACTAAGTCTCCTAAACTATACTAAATGTTTTGCAAATTTTTTATGGTTTTATGCTTGATATTTTCAGCAATTGTGAAATTTCTTGGCTTTTCCTCCTTGCCTCTCCCTTCTTTCCTTTCTTTCTGATTTCTTTCTTTTTTCTTTCCTTCTTTCCTTACATCCACCCTTTCTTCTTTTCTTCCTTCTAGTTCCTTTCTTTGCCATCATCTCTCTTTCTTTAGTTCACCCACTCCTTCCTTCGTTCATGCCCTATGCAATATGAAAGGAGGCCCCAGTACTTACCCAGCACATTTATTGAACGACCATTCCTTTTCCTATTAAAATTGCATGGCCACAGTATACATTTTCAAACAGTAAATCAATTCTTGGTGGGCATTCGTTGGGAAGGTGAAATGATAGACGATACCAATGTCAGTCACACAGGACAGGAAACACGTGAATGGCAAGGAATGAGAAACACAGAGAGCACGTGCAGTAAGGTGATCTTGCCTCTGATCTCAGAGTGTGGCTCAGCTTCAGCTTAGCTTTCTAATCATTTGTTTGCAGTTTCCTTGTTTTGATCATTGCATTAAAGATAACGTTCTCACAGACACCAAAAGAAAAGAAAATCCCTCATTGCTTTTGACAAATTTGAGAGTTGTGTGCATTTCCTGAGGTTTGAGCAAACAGGAACCCTCATTTCCCCTGCACCATTGCACAAGGTGTGCATTTTTCATTGCTGCCTGAACTGCTGTGTTGCCCTTTGGTCTGCAAACTCTGGGCTTTTCCCAGTCTGGTGAATTAAACTCTTCTACCCCAGAATACATCAGAATGGAATTATGGAGCCCAGCAGTGGGTGAATAACCTCGTAGCACTTGCTTTGCTGAAGTTAGGTTTTGTTCACAAATAGAAAAGCCCCTCTTCTAAGTAGTTGTCAAAATTCTCTAATATTAGTGAAGCTCCCTGCATAGAAAGCACCTCAATCACAACATCAGAACATCATCTTAACATCTCATCTCTCTGAGGCAATGACACAGGCAGCACTTTGCAGTCAGCTTGGACAGTAAATGCCATCATCTCTGAAATGCTGTGCACTGTTGCTACCATGGGAAAACTGAGGAGAAATTCCAGACTTCCAGCCTGCGAACTGAAGGAGGGACCTCCATCCATTCCACCATCTGATGAATGGATGGCAGAGCAATCAAGTATTTCTACAATTTGTGTTTTCTAAGAATCCCATCTTAAGAATTTTGAAACAGGAAATGTTGTCATTGATAGAAACATGAAATATGTATAATTCAAAGTCAATTATATTTTTTAATGCATTTAGCAGTTGCATCTGAGATGGTTGGCTTTGAGGTTTGGGGTTTTTTTGGGTTTTGTTGTTGTTCTTAATTTCAAGTAGTCCTGGTACTGTAGAGATTATAGTTTCAGAGTTATAGACATTACAGCCTGACATTTCCCCCCATACCTCTGTCTAGGTCTTTCCTTTTTCTCTCTTCATACTGATAACAACAATATAATTCCTGACATTTTTATATTTTTCCCAGCCAGTGATCTGCATCCAAGATGGTAACCAGCTGAAGCAGGCACTGTCCTTCCCACTCTGGTTCCACAGTGGGGTCTCTGGTCCTTCACCCTTCTCTCTTTCTACAGGTAAGGAGGTGAGTAAGAAGGGAAAAGGTCGTTTCTGAGCCTGACAGTGGGAAGTAGACTGTGCATCGCTTTCTTTCAGCTTCATGAGGAAAGAAGAAGTGACTCCATCCTGAGGTCCTGAGACCTGAGCTCTTACTCAAGAAGAGAAAACCTGTGGAGGATGCTGGGAGTCAGGTTACCTTCAGGAAATTCCTGAAACAATGAGGATTTCAGGAGCTCTGGTTGATGATGTTATAGAGCTATGTGCACAGTTCTTCTGAGTTTAATGAATCCCAAAGGTGGTGTTAACGCTGTTATATCATCATGGACAATTAAGACCTGAAAGAAAGTTACTTTAGGGTGAATAGCAGGTTTTCCTATTCTTTCTAGGAATATATGAGGTAATGAAAGTCACTGTAGCTATTTTGGTAATCAGACTCACCGTGTAAACTATTTGTCCAAACAGAATGTCCACATCTAAAATTAAAATTTAATAAGATATGAAAATGTAACATACACATTTTAGAACTACAAAACATGCTTACTCCCTCCCTAAGATTTGAAATAACAAGAAATATGCAATCTATTTCTAAAGTATATAAAGCCACATTTTGCCTCCTGTTGCAAGAAATGACATTGCAACAGAGAGAACATGGGCTCACGGCAGCTGTGAGTACCCAAAGCACTCAGTACTCCTGGCACGGGTGCCCCTGGGTGGGGCCACAAGCAAGCTGGCACCTTGGAGACTCACAGGAGGAGTTGGGCTCTTCTCTTTGTTTGGTTCTCTACACACGGGTCATCCCTACTCTGTTTCCAAGAGTAACATTCAGGTAAGAGTGCACCATGGAGCTGTATAGGGTAGTGAGCATATCCTTGGCAATTTTTAATCAAAATATAACCAATATTCTCTAATCTCCTTTTTTCTCTTCTCACCCACCTACCAACTGTCACAATCCAGATCACAGTTGGCCAATATTTGGCAGTGGGTCCTAGCCCCTCCATCTGGCCCATCACTGCCATCCCTAATGGGTACTATGCTACTTCTCCACCAGCTCCTCTCAGTGCAGGACCTGATCAGCCTTACCCATCACTGAATGAGCCTTGAGAACTGCATCTTAGTCAACTCCCCAAACTCGACTGAGGTCATGGGGTAAAACAGATGTTCCAAACCTGGCTCTAGAACAGAATTATTTTGGCATCCAGGAATAATTCCTGGATGTAAGCCAGAGCTACCAAACCAGAATGTTCAGGCATAGAGGCCTAGAAATTATGTTTTAAATAATTTCAACACAGCTATTGTCATGCAGCCAGCTCTGCACCTGCTCATAGTTTGGCTTTGGGGAGTAGAAAGGAAAAGGATTAATCAACTTACTCAAGATTTTGAATCTCAGTTTGCTACTCTGTAAAAACAGTATCACAATGTTTCCTTAGTGGGTTCTTTGCCGGACAAAATCAGATTGAATGCTTGGATGCACTAAGGGCTTGCATGGGTGTGCCACACATACCTATTGCCTTTGTTACCTGCTCATTAGCAATCTGACTTCATAGAACATCATGGAGATGTGATTAACTTACCAAGACCTCTATGCATTGTCAGGGAGATGAGAAAGGCATGGGTCTCATTTTCTTATAGACTTCACATATCTGTGTAATTCATTATTTTTTAAATCACCGGTTTTCTTACAGTAATATGATCGGTATTTGCTGAACAGTACACGCAGATGCATATTAAAGCAAAGCTTGTGGTCAAGTTACCTTGTGAAGAAGTAACGTGAATCCCAAGCATTGGAATCCAGGATGTGTGTACAGCAGATTGATGAGGGAAAATAAGTAGCCTTTCTGGGTAGCATTTCAGCAGTGTCCTCCTGGTAGTATCTTTATGAGCAGCACAACTCACCTGAAGGAAACAGGCATGATTTAATGGACATACATCTTTCTAGGTGTGTGCTCACCCAGCAGTCTGGGTGCCTCCTCACCTCAGGGCCTCCTCCCTCAAAGGTGGGGCTTCTGGAAGGTGTTTAGATCATGGGAGTGTCACAGCTGCATTGTTGTTAGGAAGCCAGGCCTGGTTGGAAAAGGTGGTCAGTGCAGGCCTGGCCCAGCAGGGCTTGTCTCCCTCCAGCTCCTCCTTCGCTCTCTGTTCCCTGTCCACTGTACCATGAGCAGCTCCCCCCACCAGGCCACCCTGCCATTGCTGCCCTATCTTGCAGCCAGCCAACTACAGTCTGAAATGTGAGCCAAAATAAAACTCCTTCCTTTCAGTTATAGGCGATGGATATTTTGTCCCAGTGATGAGAAGGTGACTCGTTCAACCCTTTACAGAGCAGAGACCTCCACAGAACCCATGGCAGTGAGAGAAGAGCTGACCTTCAACAGAGAAATGGCTGGAGCTCAGTGTGCAAGCCCCCAAGGGTTAACATAGTTCACAGACATGTGGTGCGGGTCCTGGGGGCTGACCAGTAGCCCTGCTGGGTCCTCACAGTGCATCACAGAAGGCAACCCACTCCCGTGCCTGCAGGTGGACAGGAATGGCCACTTCTGAGGTATGCTCGAGCATTATAATCTTTCTTGCAAGGTTTGCCATGAGACACTATTTCACCAGAGCCAGTCTGTGGGGATTTTATTGAGCCTCTCCTGCAAGAGAAATGAACATCTCCAACTCCAGCTGCCTCTACCACCTAAGGGAAAGGCACTAGTAAATCCTAGCCTCTTCTAACTATCCTTTATCATATGAGTGGAAAAGGTTAAAAAAATAAAATAAAACTGAAGAACACTGGTGAAGTCCATAGCCCAGGGGCACAGGATCACCAAAACACTGAGACCTAATCATAGGCCTCCCACTCCACACACTCCCTAACAGCCATGTAGCTAAAAACTACTTCTCACAGCTTCTTCTACCTCATACTGCACCTCCAGATATCAGGCAAAATTGCAAGGTACACAAGGCAGCAAAATAATGGAGACTGAACCAGCATCAGAACCAGACTCAGATATGGCAAAAATGTCAGAATTATCAGGTCAGCAACCTAGAATAACTGTAATTAAGATGCTTAAAGTCTTCCATGCACAAGCAGATGACATGTATGCAAGAAGGGTAAATAACATAAGCAATGAAATGGAAATTGAAATAAAGAATCAAAAGAAATGCTACAGATTTTTAAAAATCTGAAACTAATAAGCAGTTATGTCAAAGTGCAGAATCCAGGGTTAATATGCAAACGCCACTTGTTTTCTCATATACGTGCCATAAACAAATACACTTTGAAATTAAAAATAAAATATCATTTTTACTAGTTCCCTCAATTAAATATATAGTTATAAATGAAACAAGATCTATAATAGAACTCCAAAACTCCAGTAAATATCAAACTAGAACTAAAGAAATGGAAAGGTATTCCATGCTCATGGATAAGAAGGTTCAATATCATCTAATATCTGTTCTTGCCATATTAATCTATAGCTTCAACAAAATCCAAATATAAGTCTCGGCAAGTTATTTTCTGGACATTGATAAACTGATTCTGAAGTTTATATGAAGTAGCAAAAAAAACAACAACAAAACCCGGAACAACCAACTTAATATGGAAGAAAAGTCCAATTGACTGACACTGTTCAATTCTAAGACTTACTGTAAAGCTACAGTAATGAAGACAGCATGGTGTTGGTACAATAATACACAAATCAACAGAATAGAAAAGAAGCACATATAGCCACTGGCCTCTGAGAAAGGAGCAAGGTTAACAGGATGGAATAAAGAATCTTTCCTACAGAGGGTGCTAGAATAATCCAACATTGGCTTTCAAGAAAATTAATCTAGACACAGACACAGAGCTTGCCCCCTTCACAAAAATTCACTCAGGGTAAATCAGAGAACTAAAGGTGTAACGCTAAGCCATACCTTTTCTAGAAGTTAGCAGAGGGTAAAACTTAAGGGGCCTTGTATATGGTGATGACATTCAGATACAATGCAGTCATGATTTATGCCTTTATCAAGAAATACTACTAAAACTTGATTAAATTCATTGAAATTAAAAACTTTTGCTCTACAAAAGACACTCTTAAGAGAACAGGACAAATCACAGAAGGGAAAGATATTTTCAAAAGACATATGTAATAAATAACAGTTTTCCAAAATATAAAAAGAACTCTTGAAACTCAACAACAAGAAAATGGACCTGATTAACACAGGAGCCAGGGCCAGGGTTTTAGCTCAGTGGTTCCAGTGCCTACCTTGCAAGTGCAAGTTCCCAAGTTCGATCCCCGGTACTGGGGGGGGAAAAAAAAAGATCACTGCAAGTTCAAAGCCAGCCTTAACTACATAATGACACCATTTCAAGACAGGAGCCAAAGATTTCACAGTCATTTCCCCAAATAAGACCTTGTAGTGGAAAATAATTGCATGGAAATGTGTCATTCATTGTTGCAAAGCACAATGAGATTCCACAGAGACACCTATTGGAATGGTCAGATCCAAAATCCTGACAGCTCTTAATGCTGGCAAAGGTATCAAGTAACACTCACTTCAGAGCAGAAATACAAAATGATGCACCCACTTGGGAAGGTAGGTGTGCAGTTTCTTACAAAAGTAAGTATCTTCGGGATCAGAGCACTTCCCCTGGTCCTCTCAGTGGGAGCCCTCGAGCCTGTCTCCTTCACCTTATGTGCCCAAGTGTGGAGGAGGGAAGGTGAGAGAGAGAGAGAGAGAGAGAGAGAGAGAGAGAGAGAGAGAGACATGGACGGAGCAGAGTAAAGAAAATACAAGTTACATAGATAAATAAATCATAAACATTAGTATGATAAAGAGGGATTTTCCCCCCAAGATTGCAAGGATAGTTTATGATTCAAAAAATCCTTCAAGAGCACCTGGAAGGAGGCTCCCCCACTGCCATTCCACACTCCTAGGGCAGAGAAGGTGAGCCATGCAGGCACTAGAAGCACACACTGTGGAAATGAGAAGACATGTAAACAAGTCTCAAAAGCAGACTTCCAGATCACCTACAGCAACCCCAATGGGAAATGAGATGGAACAATCTGATACTCAACCACCTGGACTCTCTGAACTGGCAACAAAA